ATGCAACACAGTTGTTTACACTTAAGTTAAAAATAGTTGACCAAAGGAAAAGCGGAGCAGGAACTAGAGAGAGATGAATATGATTTACATTTTTATCTCTGTGACTGTATATGACCCACAGGAGACACAACAATAACAGCAGTCGTCATTTCATTCCTCGGCTTCAGCAGGTCCTAGTTTAATTTCACAGCTGACGCTGCTAAAAATGACGGATTTTATTTTCTGGATCTCTGAGAGCAGGGCTTCAATCTCCGAACTTGTAAAGTTCTTCTTTTTTACTTTGCGATGTCATTTATGAATGGACACTTCCTGGTATGTGTGGCAGGAAACGTACATCCTTATATGGCGTTTTTAGGGTGGTAATTATGTAAATCTCCTCTCCTCGTGCACGAGCACCTGATACACATTCATCAGTTTACGCTGCTCATTTACACACTTTTCCTGAAGATAGAAGAGTTTGTTGAATCTGACGTCACATGTTCGTACGAACCCTTCGTATGAACAAAAGTAAGAGAAATTTAGGATGAAAATATGTTCTTGCGTCAGGCCCATTGTGTGGTGGTATTTTCTTGGTGGCATCTGCTGCTTAGAAAGTGAACTGCAGATTTGCTAAACTGTGATGAACATTGAAACATAATCTCTGATTTATAATTTCAATATTTTTTAAAGGAAGTAAAACCTCATTATGAGCCAATGATCTGTAATTACACTTTGTAAATTCTTGAAAGCTTCAGGAACATAACATGCAGCCTTTACGAGCAAAGAGACACGCAGCTGATATTTTTACCCAATAAAGTTTTGGCTTTTTGAGTCTTAAATAGCAGGACCTTTTGACTCATCTAACCAAGAAGCAGCACATGATATCCTCATCTGTACAGATAAAAATGGGCACGCAATACTGTTGAAGTTAAGCCATAAAACCTTTTTTTTAATTTAGCACAAATAACCAAATATTAACAGATGTATGTGATTTAAAGTAATTTTAAAAAGTCTGAATGTCAGCTGGTGTACTGGGCTGGCTGTTCAAATGGGTAGGCAGCTCTGTCACATTTCAGCAGACTCCTCCATGTAGCCTGAGGGAGCGTGGCGCTCACCGTTTGAAGATTAAAACATCCACTGTCATTTCCTGCTCCAGTGGTTGCTTTACCAAGAGGAGTGGAGATATGAATTGTATTTTCCACCCCCTTCAGAGCTGATTATCAAGAGCCAGCCTTTCAGCGGCGTCCACGTTTCACGGTGGTCCTGGGAACAAGCCACCAAAGAGGTGGAATTAGAGGGGTGCAGATCAGCTGTGCGTTGTATTTGTGTAAGTGATTGTTCCAGCCATATACAAAAAGAAAAAAAGGTGAAGCATGGATAAATCCTTTCTGCTGCCTTGTGTGGTGGCTCTTGTGTGTTTGTGCACACAGCTGCGTCTACGCATCTTCCTTTGCATCCTTGTGCCTGTGGATGGTTTCATGTGTGTCCGTCTWTTCGTTCCTGTCTGAATGTGGTTGTTGGTGTGTTTAGACCCTCCATTTAGTCTTCCCCTTTAGCCCATCAGTGCGTTGTCAGCAACACATCCAGTTGGAGGAAAGACCTGGGATAGAAGTAGGTGCCGTGGCGGGAGGCTCTAATAGAGCCATCAGTCAAGTGCCTGTCCAGCCAACCATACCACAGGGCGTTAGCGTTAATGCTGAGGCACATGCCRTAAGCTCTGAGGAGCAGGGCTGTTTGTCAAAGGGCATCCAATGTGAAGGAAGTTGTTAGTTAAGTGTGTTTGTCCTGTCACACGCCTACATGACTATCCCACCAGAACATGTTTCTGTGTCTGCTTGGTTTTTGTCAGTTACTTGCACTGTGAATATATAGCTACAGGATGCAAGCTATAGCATAATGTATATATTAACGCATAGCTGATTATTTAACAAGCAGATCATATTTTCAAGYTGATTGTGATGCATTTACTGGGTTCAGTTGATGTTTTTAGCCACCAGGTTTGCTACCTTTTTTTATATCTAGATTAACTAATTCACTGACTCAGAAAAACGGAATTTCTCTCTCAGGAGTCATTAYCAGGCCTCAGCAGAGCTTAACAAAGAGCTTACAGCAACTATGCACGTAAAACATCCAGAACAAAGACTAATATTAGGAAACACAGACTTAAAGATGTAACACCGTCGCTGTGGCAGGAGGACTGGAGCCAGACTGCAGATGGACTAGAGGAGCTCAAATTATTGAAACATAAAAACGCAGTCTACTGTGAGTAGATAAAGACATGGCATGCATTTATATGACAGAGGTAAATGGAAAAGCATTGGCATCTGAGTAGATTGCTGATTGGAAACAGGTGAGAGAGACAGGCTGAGTGGGAGAAAAAAAACCCAACATGGATCTGGTAAAAACGCCCCAAGATAGGACTAAATACAAATAATCAAAGATATAGGAAACTAAGCCTAATAATCAGAACTGAATTAACAAAAAACTCAAATAAATAATAAGTAGTAACCCCCCCACCCCTATATATATATATATATATATACACACACAGTGGTTTGCAAAAGTATTCATACCCCTTGAACTTTTCCATATTTTGTCACATTACAACCACAAACATAAATATATTTCACTGGAATTTAATGTGAAAGACCAACACAAAGTGGTATACAATTGTGAAGTGGAAGCAAAATTTTACATGAATCAAAACATTTTTTACAAATAAAAAACTGAAAAGTGCGATGTGCAAAATTATTCAGCCCCCCTGAGTCAATACTTTGTGGAGCCACCTTTTGCTGCAATTACAGCTGCAAGTCTTTTAGGGTATGTCTCCACCAGCTTTGCACATCTAGTGACTGCAGTTCTTGCCCATTCCTCCTTGCAAAACAGCTCAAGCTCAGTCAGATTGGATGGAGAGCGTTTGTGAACAGCAGTTTTGAGATCTTGCCACAAATTCTCAATTGGGTTTAGGTCTGGACTTTGACTGGGCCATTCTAACACATGAATATTCTTTTTTTTAAACCACTCCATTGTAGCTTTGGCTTTATGTTTAGGGTCGTTGTCCTGCTGGAAGGTGAACCTCCGCCCCAGTCTCAAATCTTTTGCTGACTCCAACAGGTTTTCTTCCAAGATTGCCCTGTATTTGGCTCCATCCATCTTCACATCAACTTTGACCAACTTCCCGGTCCCTGCTGAAGAGAAGCACCCCCAGAGCATGATGCTGCCACCACCATATTTGACAGTGGGGATGGTGTTTTCAGAGTGATGTGCAGTGTTCTTTCTCCGCCACACATAGCGTTTTGCATTGTGGCCAAAAAGTTCAATTTTGGTCTCGTCTGACCAAAGCACCTTCTTCCACATGTTTGCTGTGTCCTCAACATGGCTTCTGGCAAACTGCAAAYGGGACTTCTTATGGTTTTCTTTTAACAATGGCTTTCTCCTTGCCACTCTTCCATAAAGACCACATTTGTGTAATTGTTGTCCTGTGGACAGTTTCCCCCACCTGAGCTGTGGCTCTCTGCATTTCATCCAGAGTCACCATGGGCCTCTTGGCTGCCTCTCTGATCAGTGATCTCCTTGTTCGGCCTGTAAGTTTAGGTGGACGGCCTTGTCTTGGCAGGTTTACTGTGGTGCCATACTCTTTCCATTTCCGGATGATGGATTGAACAGTGCTCCGTGAGATGTTCAAAGCTTGGGAAATCTTTTTATAACCTAAGCCTGCTTTAAACTTCTCCAAAACCATATTCCTAACCTGTCTGGTGTGTTCTTTGGACTTCATGATGCTGTTTGCTCCCCAATATTCTCTTAACCAACATCTGAGGCCGTCACGGTGCAGCTGTATTTGTACTGAGATTAGATTACACACAGGTGGACCCTTTTGAGTCATTAGCAGTCATCAGGCAACTTCTGAATGCAATTGGTTGCACTCAGGGAAAAGGGGGCTGAATACTTTTGCACGTCGCACTTTTCAGTTTTTTATTTGTAAAAAATGTTTTGATTCATGTAAAATTTTGCTTCCACTTCACAATTGTATAYCACTTTGTGTTGGTCTTTCACATTAAATTCCAGTGAAATATATTTATGTTTGTGGTTGTAATGTGACAAAATATGGAAAAGTTCAAGGGGTATGAATACTTTTGCAAACCACTGTATTATCATGACAAATGAATTATCACTTCTATCAGGAAACTCCCGAATTACAATGAGATTACATTAAACATGATCTCATCTCAAAACATTTTATTTACAGGACAACCTTCAGTAAGTATTCATTGTGATAGAGTTTTATTAGATTTATTAAATCTTACTGGTCTCTGTTGTCAATTGATTAATGTTTCGGCCGGGCTTGTTGTGGTTCCTCTGAGTTCCCAGGTTAAAAAACCGAACACATTGCTAAATCAGAATGATAAAAAGTTATTGGCTTAACTGACCATGAAAAATACAAAACACTTTAATACTTCACTCAGCTTTATGTATGGAATCAGAATGAGTTTTCATCAACTAAAATTGTAAAGTAGTTGTGTAAAAAACAGTAATGATACTGATAAAATAAGTTCCTCAGTTTCACCTTATTAAATTCCATCTTTGAATTGTTTTTATTGAGGGACCCCTAGAAGCAGAAAACGTGCATTTGCTACTTTTAGGTTTTCACAGATTGCAGAGGAAATGCCACCTTATTTTGGGTTTTGCAACACAGGAACTGTAGTTGATCATACTTCATAAAAATCCAATTACAAGATGTTTTGGGCATCATGGCAGCTCAGTGGTTAGCACCGACGCCTCACAGCAAGAAGGTCCTGGGTTTGATCCCAGGTTCGGACCTGGGGTCTTTCTGTGCGGAGTTTGCATGTTCTCCTTGTGCTTGCGTGGGTCTTCTCTCGGTACTCCGGTTTCCCCCACAACACAAACACATGTACAATAGGTTGCCTCCAGGCCGCCTTTGAAAAAGAGATACAATCTTAATGAGATTTGCCTTGTTAAATAATGGAAAATAATGTATGCAACAATATTGTTTTTATGAAGTTCAACAGTACCTGGTCTAATACAAAAAATTAATATATACATTTTAATAAAATGTTAAGCAGTCTATATCCAATTTATATTTCCTGCTATAAAAAAGACAATAAAAAAACTGACCACCAGGTATATGAGTCCAGTTCTTTTTTTTTTTTTTATTAATTTTTGTGTGTGTGTTTGTTTTCTTGCTGAAATTAGTTAAATCCAGTTGTAACATTTTCTGTGAAGATGAGTTCCAGTTGGAGTACACTGCAAATACGTTAACTGCTAAAATGTTTTCTCGAGCATCTTGACTTTGTTTCTTGTTCAGTCCATTATTTATTTGGATTTCTAAGACCACTGGTGCAACCTGGGCACTTCCTGCAGGAACATCATGCTCTCTGAGCTGGAAAAATGAGCTAATGCTAAAACAGCAATGACATAAATGGTTAAAACATATTTATTTTTACTTTTTGACATAAACACTCCCACATTTGCACAACTGTCATGTTTATAATTATTTCGTATACTTCAGAAATCAATAAATAAGATTAAAAATTAAAGCTACTTGTCCATATGTATGAGCGCGCTGATCAGCTGCACCTTTATAGCTATTTTAAGAGCTTGGACCAAAATTTGTGTGTGTGTGTGCATGTGTGCGAGCCACATCCTGTGTGACCTTCTGGAGTGTGAGAGCAGCCACAGTATGACACACACACTTTCTCTGCAAGAAGCAACAACCAGCACTGCCCACTCCTTATCATCAGATCAGCATATCGCTCCACTTCTGCTGCATCATTCCTGCAGTAACTAAAACCATTTCATACTAATTTTCCTTCTCCTTCTTATACAAACATGTTAACAAGTTTCAACTTTACTTTGGCTCTGTTTGCTGTAAATCTAGACTTTCCTCATCAACTTGTAAGACACAGTGCACCCTGTTTAAATGCATATCTGGGCTTATTAACATGAAATTGTGTTTTCTGGAAAAACAACACATTTGCACCTTACCGAGGCGTACTAGAAAACAGCTAGTCTTTATAGAAAATAGTTCAAACATACGGAGCATCTCAACACTGCTTTGAGAGGAGAATGTTGCCTCGGGCAGAAATTGAAATGGCTCAGCTGTTTCCAATACGACAGCTCTGTTTTAGCAGAAGCAGAAGTCAAGATGTAAAGATAGCACGTGTTGAAGCATATAGACCTTTTGTTCTCATGGGACTTGCTGCTTGTTTAGAGAATCTCTGATCAAAGCCACCCCTCCTGAGAATGGCTTTATTAGATTTCACACTTCCCTCCGGGAGTCTGTGGAAAAAAAAACACAAAGCATATTTTTCGACATCAACAAATATTCATTTTTTTTTCTCTCAGATCAATCCATTTTCATTGTTAGTTTATCAAGTCAGTAACTACAGATTTAACAYAATCACCTTAATATGAAATCTTTTTAAGTCGTGTAAAATTTGTTCAGACTCTATGAAAAATTGGCATTTTCACCCATGATGAACTCTCTATCTGAATAACGGTGAAGGAGGAAAACTGATGCCATCTTTTAATCGCCAGGGATTAAGTTTGGATTGAGGACTTTTTTTKTTTTTTGGTTGAATGAGATCTGGGCACACTGCCAGATGAATAGAAAATGGTGTTCTCTTCCCCTCCACTGGTCATGGCACTCCCTCATTATTAGGAGGCAAGTGCTTGTGWGCTGTTTCAGATTTGAGTTTATTAATGTCTCTTTTTTTTTAAACGATGGGCTTTGCAATCCAGCCCCCCCCCCTTCTCTGTTTAAGATAAAATACATATCACTGTTCTTTTGATTTCCAGCTCGAGGGCCATCAGGTGTCTCTGGCAGGAGCGTTTGAAAGCRAAGAACTGTAAGAGCTTCGATGGGTGCTGCAAAAGACTAAGCCTCTCCCTGCGTCAGAAACATATCTCTTTGYTAAGGTGAAGGATCCTAAGATGAGAGTTACAATCTTTTGAAATGAGTTCTGWATAAAGATTCTAAACAATTAATATCTTACCTGTTGTAGATCGTTCTCTCCCAGACAGCACAGCCTGTGTTTCCACTCTGGCTTTTCTGTGCACAAAAACTGTGCAGTTTCCAACCATAGATCCTTTGACTATTTTCATCAAGTATGTTTGACTTTGTAGGTTTTGTTRGAACACTTGTAAAGATGGCTGTATTTTCTAACAGCCTCAGCCAACTGCTCCACAGTGGAACAGTGCWAGCAAAATAAGAGCGTTGGCATAAACACGCCTACAAATTTTTGATCAATCCCAGAGTAATCGGCGTTTACCCCTCTGAGAAAAAAAGTTCTACCTGGAGTTCATAAACTATCAACCCATTTAAAATTAAACTCTGCTTTTTCAAACTGATGCCATCCAAAGGACTATTGTAAGAAATTAATTTATATTGAATCTTAAATGCATTTTATCTATACATACTTATGCTTGAGATGTTTAAAGTATTTTTATAATCAATGTGCAATCAAGTTATTTTTATACTGTGATTAAGATTATTACGAGAACAACTAATTCCTAAGGGACTATTTAGTTACATTGATGCAACACTATCAGACACATAATGTTCCTACATGTGAGAGTTTAGGACTTTCTTGGTTGAGAACTGGGTCAACCAATAGGTGAGGTCATATCCCCTTCTTTGATGATGTCATCTCCAGAAGGTGTGACTCACTTCTGAAGAAAACTGTAAAATGTGCAGCATGCTGCATCCGAACTGCCGAAATCTAATCGGATTGTCGCAGTTTCATGATGAAAATTGTGTCACTCTGTTCACATTGTCGACATTTTGGCACCTTCTTGTTGCAACCCGCGGACCGAACTTTTTACCCCGCCCCCCTCCACATAAGAACTTATTATGTGATTGGTCAGAAGTTTGTGGGAGTGGTTGTGCTGTAAGTGCT